TGGATCAAACTTTCCAAATCGCAGAGAACCAAAGTATCAATTGGGGGAAAACAAAAACAGCCTAAAACAAACAGAATGTTTGTTATCACAGTGAGGCTTTATTGAATAAATAAGAGCATGCTAAATACGAGGCTGTCACTTTATTTAATCCTAGAGCTAAAACTCTAAACCCCAGCGCTGAAATGAAATTTGGTATGCTCTTGTGATTCAAACTGAAACCACTATAGCATAAGGAAAGGAGGAAGCAAGGGGCACATTGGTCAGAAATAACTACATGAACAATCAGGGACAACAGCTGTGACTCTGCAATCTTTTCAAAGCTCCCACTCAGCCTAGAACAATGGAACCTCAGCCTCCACTGTCGGAGGTCTGGCTGTACATCATAATCACTAAGGAGCTTTAAAACACTGATGCCTGGGTCTCACCACCAGAGGATCTGATATAATTATCTAGGGTATGGCCTAAGAAACTAGAGTTTTGAAAGCTCTCCAGGTGTTTCTAATAAGAGTATCCAAAGTTGAGAATTGCTGGCCTAGAGAATTCCTCATATGATTCTCTGCCTTTGGTGAATGCTTCCTAGGATATGAAGTTACATCTAAGGGCATACATGGCTGTAGAAGAGGTGAGGGGGTCCAGGCCAAAGAGGAACTTTGACAGGATTGCACAGGCAACAGGCATAGTCAACCTAATGCTGTGCTAATGCTGATGCCAAATAGGATTTCTATGTGCAAGCCATTCTCCTAAACACATAAGGACCAAATGAAAACTGGGGAGCTTGCCAGTGTACCTGCAATGGTAGGTAACACTCTGGATTTATGGCATCCTGGAAGGGCTTCCCCATAAGAAAAAACCACACACCTCCCCATAATCTCCCTCCTCCACTAAGGGGATAAGTGCAGGGTAGAAGCTTTTGTTTTGTGGCAGTAGAACACAATGGTTAGGAGCTGTGTAGCCAGACTGCCTAGGTTCAAATCCTTTCTGGACCTCAGTTTCATCAACTGTGAAATGAAGATTGTAAAATAGTACTTACCTTGCAAGGTTGTCATTAAACAAGTAAAGATATATATAAAGGACTTATTTATCTGTAAAGGACCTGGCACATGTTAACAGCTCAGGAAGTGTAAAGTATTTTCTAAGACTGTGAGTGATCTGCCCTGTGTGATTAAGGAATTGTCATCCTGGGGGCGGTGATGAGACTTTGTGAGATCACTTATCTGTGTGTATGAAAGGACGTGGGGCAGAGGGGACCACACCGAATGAGTCCGCAAAGAATGCACCAGAAGCAGGACAAGGGGAAAACCTGAGTCAAGATGCACTAGATCCTTCTTTAAAGATGACCATCTGGCTGCAAGCTTATTGGGAGCCAAACATGTCCCCAAGATAAGACAGCTGAGCTGCCAGGAAAACACTAAAGTGATGGTTCTAAAACACTAAAGTGTCCCATCACATTGTGCAAAAGAGCTTTTGACATTCCATATTCCTGGCTTCTAACTCCAGAGAATCTGCTCTAAAAGGTCTGATGTCCATGCATCTACACTCCTAATAAACACCCCAGATGACAATGGTGCCTGTAATCAACAGACCACAATTCATCACTGGGCCAGGTGATCCAGGAAATTTGAGCTAGGAGTCTGCATGTTCTGAAGGAGAAGGATAACAAGCCCACTTAACCCACTTTCTAGTAGAGGAGAAATGAAAAGATGCATAGATGAAATAAAGATAGGGAACTGAAGGGAAGGCATCCAGGCAAGTTATGCCAACCCATCTGAGACTAGAGGGTAGTTATCTGAGGACAAAGCAATTTAGAAATCAAAGCAGCGCTTTTCTTTTTTCCCTGGGATTCTACAGATCAGAAATCCATACTCTGGAAACTTGACTTGGGTGTTGGTGGTGGTGGTGTTCAATGATCTGGAATCATTTGATTTCTTTGTCATTTGCTTTCTTTGCCCCCCTGGGGCACGTCAAACTTGGGAATAGCGAAAGCACGGAGGGGGTGGGGGGGCGGGGGGATCTTAGATTTAACATTCTACTTACTTTGTCAACTAGAACTCCAAATTCATTCCCATCAGCCCCACTTTTGAGGTAGCCTGTAGTCTCTCCTCCAGGCCCTGGGTAGACCACAGAGACAGCTGTGGTCCACTCATCTGGCCTTACGTACAGCCCAATCTTAACCATGGCTGCATCATGACCACCTCTTGTTGGAGAGTATTCAGCCTTGTTGCCTGAACAATGATCCAATATTTCTGCCTGACACAGGGAGATTTTCATTTTTTGATCTGTACATCACCATGCTACATCCCTGAAAGTGTCCTATCAGGTAGCAGCCTCCAGCATCTTTGACTTATACTATTGGCCAATAAATGCACTATAGTATCTCTGCATGCCCTGGACTGCTCCTCTGTTTCACTTTGTTTTTTATTCTATGTTTTATATACCAGTTGGCCCTCTGTATTTTTAACTTATGCCTTGAGGCCTGATTCTACTTCTGGACTAACTGGATGCATGATCCCTGCCATAAGGTTAAACCAGTACTGTTGACATAGCTTTATTAACATCACCTAGAAGTGGCCTCTTTGGACAATTGATCTTACTCTCCACTCACCGCAGGAAAGAATTACTTAGAACCAACATGCCCAAACCAGAGTCATCCTCTTTGGCAGTTGTCATCTAACATTTAGTTGGATTACATCTAACAGTAGTATGGCAACTCACCAGTTACCTAGGAATATTTTCCAACAACATTACACTGAAGTATATACCAGTAGGATAGTGTGCTTAAATTTAAACATTCTAAGAATTCGTTGTTAAGATTTTTTAATGTTCACTGAATGCAAATACCAGCTGTTAAATTTTTCCTGGCTAAAATTATTAGGGCTACAGGCTGTCCACTAGACTATGTATAGCAAGGTATCAGTAATTGAATTCTGAAGAAAATATTAGCTCAACCCACATCCCTAGGGAGCTGGGATGGCCTTCTATAATTAAGATATATCTCCTGACTGGATTCTTTAACTAGAAAAAAAATGTCAACCCTCTCTCCTGCTTAGCTGAATAGCAGAGTATGTGGATCTGCTCTAATTGGACAACAGAGAATATTTGCACTCTCATTTTTGCCAGAGAACATATCCTTTACTTCTATGTTTCCCAATAATTATCAAAAGTCAATTAGAGGGGCCAGGTGCATGGCACACACCTATAATTCTAGCACTCTAGGAGGCCAAGGTAGGAGGATCCCTTGAGGTAAGGAGTTTGAGACTAGCCTGAGTAAGAGCGAGACCCCATCTCTACAAAAAAAGAAAATAGAAAAAATTAGCTAGGTGTGGTGGCATGCACCTGTAATCCCAGCTACTTGGGAGTCTGAGGCAGGATGATCACTTGTGCCCATGAGATTGAGCTTACAGCGAGCTAGGATGAGGCCATTGCACTAGCTAAGTGACAGAGCAAGGCCCTGTCTCAAAACAAAAATAGTCAATTAGAAAATTCAATATTCATAAATAATTGCTTCAAATATTTGTTATTAATCCTCCTAATGTTGTAAACTTAATTCTTAACAAATCATACACCTCAACTGCTGCCAACCCAGACAAATTCTACCGAGTTGTACTTTTACGGTATAAAATGAGGCTATTTAGGGATATAACACAAAACAGTCTAACAACAACAACAATAATAATAGCAGATAACTGTGATAAAAGGCTTACTATGTGTTGGGCACTGTACCAAGTGCCATATTTGCACGATCTTATTTGATTCTTACAACATCCCTTTGAGCTATTAATAATTACTGTTATTTCTCCCATTTTGTAGCAAAGAAAACTGAGACATAAAGAAGTTATGTTGCCTAAGGTCACATGGCTAGTAAGTCGTAAAGCCAGGATTTGGACCTAGGCAGTCTGATCCCAGAACCTCTGTGCTTAACTAGTCTACCACATGCCTCCCTAAAGTAACTACTTGATAGACAGGGAGCCACATGTGTCATAGCTGGCTGTGGCCTCTGTGGAGCAACTTTAATTGCTCACTTTGTACTGAATGACGGTGGTCAAATCCTCTGGAGCCAGCCGGCAACCATCACGTTTCAGGCGTCCGTTTCTACAAAGGACCCCGGCGGACCGTGGCAAGTGCCTTCCGGTCACTCAGCCTGGCAGCAGATTCATGGATCTCAATGATCTTTAGTTTTTGTTCCTCAAGTTGGAATAATGATAGAGTGAGATATTAAATATTAAATATTAAAACCCCCAAAATTAGGCCGGGCACAGTGACTCACGCCTGTAATCCTAGCTCTCTGGGAGGCCGAGGCAGGCGGATTGCTCCAGGTCAGGAGTTCGAAACCAGCCTGAGCAAGAGCGAGACTCCATCTTTACTATAAATAGAAAAATGAGCCAGGCATGGTAGCACATGCCTGTAGTCCCAGCTACTCGGGAGGCTGAGGCAGGAGGATTGCTTGAGCCCAGGAGTTTGAGATTGCTGTGAGCTAGGCTGACGCCACAGCACTCACTTTAGCCTGAGCAACAAAGCGAGGCTCTGTCTCAAAAATAAATAAATAAATAAATAAAATAAAAATAGAAGAAATTAATTGGCCAACTAAAACTATATATAAAAAATTAGCCAGGCATGATGGCACATGCCTGTAGTCCCACCTACTCGGGAGGCTGAGGCAGGAGGATTGCTTGAGCCCAGGAGTTTGAGGTTGCCGTGAGCTAGGCTGACGCCACGGCACTCTAGCCCAGGCAACAGAGTGAGACTCTGTCTCGAAACAAAAATAAATACATAAATAACCCCCCCCAAATTGGCCCCACCTGAATGGCCAGCTAGCTCAAAAGAGGGGCTGGGCTTGTCAGAGGGAACCCCTGCAGGAGACTCCGGGAGGGGTTGGAGTGCCATGGATACTTTGTTGCAGGACAGTGACAGTCAGCCTGAACTCGCAGAGACTTGGTTTCAGAGGTCATGAGAGAAGTTAGTCACAGCCTCTAATGCAACCATCAGAAAACAGCTCAAACTCGTGCAAGTAACAAGGGTTTTATTGGCTCCTGCACCCAGAAGTCCAGGCGTAGGTCTGGTTCCAGGCAAGGCTGGCCGAGAGACTCAATATAGTCAAGGCTCCACTGCTCTGTCAATCCCTCGGCTCTTCCACGCCCAGCTTGGAGCCGTCCTCACAGCCTCTCTCCGTGTGGTGAACAGGATAGCTGCTGGCAGTCCCAGGCTCACATCCTCTAAGCTTGGAAATCCAGCCGCAAGAAGACATCTCCCGCCCAAAGGCTGTAACTCAGTGCTTGGGAAGACTATCATCAGTCCTGCGGGCAACACATAACCACCCAAAACAACCTCCAGGTGGGAGATGGGGAGATGGGCGGCTGGGATAGGAGGGCATGGCGTGGGCCACGCAGCCACTCTTACGGCCAGGGTAGGTTGGGAAGGTGGGCATGGAGGAGGAATTCACAGCCCCACGAGGCTCACCAGGAGTGGGGGAAGAGTTTCTCGGAAGAACTGAAAAACTAAGAAAGCAGCGAGAGCAAACAAAAACCATTGCTATGTAAGCTCTTGGCAGTAACAAAGTAACTATACCTACATACCTCATTTTGCCCAGGACAAAAAGGCTGCCTTTCCAGGATGCTTTGAGGAATTGGAGGGACTGCAGTCTTACTGGGTTTCCCATTTCAGAATACCTGGGCCCATGGCATAATGATGAGCATTCTAGACTCTGAATCCAGAGGTTCTGGCCAATATCCTAATTCTGAAACTGAAGAGCCCTGTGAACGTGGGCAACCCCCTCTGGGTGGTCCTGAGTAAGGAGGCAGTTGAAGACCAGCTCTCCATTCTCAGCTCAGAGATGTCCTTGCCTTGTGACTTAAAAAAAAAAAAAAAAAATCACTTCTTTCTCGGTGTCAGTTTTATCATCTAAGTGAGGGGAAGGGATTATCTTTAAAATCCGTTCAATTTTTTAAAAAACACAAAAATAGGAAGAAAAAAAAAAAAACACCTGCAATTCTGATTCTCCTGGACAAAACTCTTCCCCATGTGGTTCGTGAACTCCCAATCCAGACACTTAAATTCCGTTCTCAAGGGTGAGGCAGGCAGAGCAGGGAAGCTGGGGTCGTGTCCACAGAGCAGGCCTGCGGGGTATCCAGAGCCAGCACCAGGGGCCCATGAGGCGTGATCCCCAGGAGGCACCTGCAGAACCCATGACGGGGCCTCAGGGCCACAGCTGGGGCTTGGTGAACACTTCACCGTGTGCTTCATATGTCAGCTTGCGCCAGTCCAGGACATTTGGGCTTACGGTCCCACCAACATAGACGCTGTTAATCTCTCCTGGAGACAGCACGAAGTCCCACATGTTCACGTCTCCAATGTCTCCCACCAGGCACTGGTTTGCGTCAAAGCTCCCACCGAAAGAATCCTGCTCCTGCCCCAGGATGATGCTTGCCTCTGTCCCCACAGAGTATCCCTTCTGCAGACTCTTCCTCACCCTGGGCTTCCCGTCCACCCAGAACTCGGCAATCCCTGAGGCGGACTCCCAGCTGGCACAAATGTGTACTGGAGCTACGGTGGCTTCAGGAGCCGCGAATACTACCTCAGGCCCACCCACCCCGAAAGTATATCCTCTACCCTTAGACCAAAATATGAGGATGTCATTAGCTTGTTTCTTTGTAGCATAAGAGAAAATACTGTATCCACGGGTCTTGGATAGCTCAGTGTAGACATGGAGGCACACAGTGAAGGCTTTGAGAGGCTTCTTTACCTGTGCTTTCAGGGATACATAGGAATTGTCCGACTCTGTGGGGAACACAAAGGCCTTCTTATCCATGTCTGCGAGATAGAAAAACAAGTAAAGACGAGAAGTTTCTAAGAGCACAAAGATCTAGCCCCTCACTTACATATAGAGTTTGGGACTGAGAAATAGACTGGCCCCTTCCCCAGTTACACACACACACACACACACACACACACACACATCATGCTGATGTTCCACTGACTTCAGCCTGTATAATCTCAGGCCCCACCCCCATCCCTCGGATCAGATCTCTGGCATACCCTGGGTGGCCCCTACCTGTCTGGCCAAAAGCATCACAGAAGCTGGTCAAGACCAGGAAACACCACAACAGCTTCTCCATGGTCACGTCCTGCTGCCAACGCTACCAGGACCTGACCTGGCCCCCGTGGAGGAAATATCTTGGGCTGAAAGCTCCGGGGTTGGAAGGCCTAGATCCCTTCCTAGCCTCAGAACTGCCCCACCCAGCCTGGATTTATATCCGAAGCCGTAGGGAGTCTGCGCCGCTTTGTAAATGATTGCCTGACACTCCCTCTCGGGGCAAGTGTCAGGGCTCTGGGAGGAAGGGAAGCAAAATCATTCCAGAACAGAGAAATCAATGCGGGTTATTTATTACAAACCTCCGTGACTACTGAATCGCCAGTTCTTTGTGACGGGAAAAATGAAGGCGTTTCCCAAGGTTCCGCTTTGGCTATTTATCCTGAAAATATAAGGGAAAATCTGGACTTATTAGACCAGTGGCCACCTGTGTGTTCATGGTAGCTGCATCTCCAGCACCTACTTCAGCCCAAGCCACGGAGTGTGACAGAGGAAAGCTGACAGCTTCTGGAGATGGACATTATGACCCTTTTTGGAAGCTACTCGTTTACAGACTGGGAAATGAGGAAAACAAACATGCATTCCCTGAGCCTAGGACAAATTGTTCTAAGCCAATGGAGTATCTTTATTAAGAGCTCTCTAGCCCAGTGAAACCCATTTGTGATCACAAACGGATCATTATGTCAGAGTTGCTTCAAGCAGAGTATTTTCTGAATATGCAAAGCTTCAGAGAGGTGTCAGGATGGTCTGATTCTACTATTTCCTTTGTTCACAAGATTCAAGTAGTCCATCCACACAGCCTGGCAATCTTGGTCCAGTTTCCTACCTAACTCACTCTTCAGGATGACTATTTTGCTCCTTCTCCTTTCTCCTCAAACCCCCCAAATCTCATCCATTCTTTCATTTAGCTGATGCACTCACCTATTCATTGAGAAACTAAAAGCAATCAGAAAAGAACTACCATGCTACCATACTACCATATCCTTTGTAGCAGAGGACTCTGGCTGTTCCCCATTGTCCATTCTCTACTTCTCATACAGCAGGGATAACATTTTTAGTTGGGCACATAGTCACCCAGCCAAACACTAAATTTCCCAGGCCTCCCCTACAGCTAGGAGTGATGATGTGATTAAATTCCAGCCAATGAGAAATGGACAGAACAGGGACAATCTCTAGGTTGTGCCCTTTACATAAAAGATATGTGCTTTCCCCTTCTACTTCTCCCTTTCCCTGTGGCTAGCATTCAGTCATGATAACAGAAGATAGAGCAGTTCACCTTTAGACCAGCAAGTGTGAGCTGCATGTTGAGGTTGGCATGGCAACAAGATAGATAGATCCTGGATAATTGACTATGGAGCCATGGTATCAGCTTTAGACTGCCTACCTGAACATTTACTTATAGGAGAAATAATCTTCTCTTTTGTTGAATCACTATTAATGCAGTCTTTCTTTTATTGATGCCTAGCTGATATCCTTATACATCCTCCCACCACTAAATCTACCAATCTTTCTGTCTCCCTCCTATTACAAGGGATGGACTGTCCCTGCATATATCTAAGGCAGACCATTGCACTTCTGCAAAATTCCTTAGTGGTCGAGACCCTCTTGACTGACCACTCAAAGAATTTTGTTTCTATAGGTATCCTCTCTATCTTCTGCATCATTAATGTCTTCATCTTTACTAAGTCATCCCCCCCAAAAAATGATATTGTATTATATTTAATCTTTTAGAAAAGGAAGGAAGGAAGGAAGGAAGGAAGGAAGGAAGGAAGGAAGGAAGGAAGGAAGGAAGGAAGGAAGGAAGGAAGGAAGGAAGGAAGGAGCGGGCAAGGGAGTAAGAAAGAAAGAGCTATGTGTGTTTATAATCTCCATTTTTCCATCTCCTGTTCCCTCCTCAATCAATGAAAATCAGGTGTTCACCTCCAGTCTAGTGAAAGCAACATAAACCTCTCTCTTGTTATTTTTAAGAATGAATTTTCCATTCTTATCTTATCCAGCTTCTCGGCAGCATTTAACACAGCTCATAGCTTCCTCCTGAATGCTTGCACACAGTTTAAAAAGTGAAATAATTTTAAGGCCTTATGCCTAAAAGAAGTGGTCCTCAGCCCCACCAATCTGTGTCCTCAACCCCCAAATAGAGCTGAGAGACAGAGCCTTGAAGACATTGCTCGAGTCTCTGAATCCAGTCTCACCTGATGCCAGCCTCACCTTGGGTCTTCTGAAGTCTAATAGTAAACAAACCCCCTTTTTACTTATTGTACTTATTTCAGTTGGTTTCATGATACTTGTATTTGAGTAAGTTTTGACAAACAGAAATACCTGGATCCAAGATATTATGTGAGCAAACTGAGCATTACTTTCCCTGGAATAATACACACACTGGCATCCTTGCCACAGGAGTCCTTCCAGAGAAGCGTGGGTTTTTATGGAAGGGGCAGCATTTAAACTGAACCACAAAAATCGAAGGGGGAAGTTCAAGACTAAGAGAACAAACAGTATGAGCAATGGTCACCACCAAATTTCATTTTCTACTGTTTCACACACAAACTCCAAAAACCTTGCTTGAATCTCTATAACCATGATACTCCATTTTAGTAAATTGGTGTCATCTCGGTCTAAAATTTTATTAATTTGAAAAGACAAAATTCTAAGATATCCTCACTCCACAGATTATACCAATTCATTCTTTTATTAACCCTCTATCCTAGCTAATTCACTAGTGTAGCTTCTACTTGGTGTTTCCTATTCCCCAGTCACTACTAGAATTGCTGTTCTGCTTTACCAGAGAAATAGTTACATTTGTACTTGTAAAGTATTACTGTCTGTCTCTGTTGTTAATATTTATATAAACTTCTTAATAAAAATAATCCATAGGAAATTTGGGCCTGAGGTCTTTCACATTAAACAAGTGAGAGACTGAAACTTTCTTGAACAAGGACATAACAGAGGCAGATCTATGTTTTAGAAATTTTATTGCCAGCAATACAAAGGATGTATTGGAGTAAGAGAGATCATAAACTGGGAGAGCACTTAGTAGGTTCATTAATTCAACCAAAATAAATCTTAGGAGCATATTCTAGGGATCAGGTACTAAGCCAATTAACTAGGCAAGTTACGCTAAAGATAATAGGGGTTGAAACTAGGGTAGAAGCAGTAGGAATGCAGAGAAGGGGGTAGATGTAAGAACTATATCAGTAGGAAAATTTAATAGAATAGAAAATTGATCAAACATGAAGCTAAAGGGAGCAGTGTTCAAAGTTATGTAGCTAGTACTATTATGTCAAATAGTGTGTGAGTGAGGACAAGACGGTTTGGTTGTTAGTACATAGACCAGTTGCTTTCACTTACATGGTGGTCAAATAATACAACTCTAACCTTGGCTGGGCATCAGAAAAGATGATCCAAGGTCAAGAAATATTGTTCACATAGATTGATGCAAATACAGCATTATTATCTCTGTTGGACAAATGAGAGAAAATTCAGACCATTTTATTTATGGGCAATAGCATACCCTCTTGAAAACCAGCCCATTGCAAAGCCTGGCACAGAGTTGCTGCTCAGAAGTGTTTCAGAGTAAGTAGATGAAGGAATAGCTGAATCAAGGAAATAATGGCAGGAAAAAAAGCAGAAATTAGCCAGGTGTGGTGGTGAGTACATGTAGTCCCAGCTACTCAGGAGGCTGAGGCAAGAGAATCTCTTAAGCTCAGGAGTTTGAAGTTGCTGTGAGCTATGATGATGCCACTACACTCTGCCCAGGCAACAGAGTAAGATCTTGTCTCAAAAAAAAAACAAAAACAAAAAAAACATAGAAGACAAATTTAGTCAATGGTGGACTGAGCGCAAATGCCAATTTTGTCTTCCCACCTCAATTCCTATAAATGACAAAAAACATATTTTTAAAAAAGTAAATCAATGTAGTACCATAAAAAAGAGTTCCATCAGCAGAAAGAAATGTGAGGAATCTCTGAAAGACAGAAAACAGACAAATTACATCAATAGAAGCTACTATAACTCAAAATATATGCAGAGGAAGGGCTGCTATGAAAATTCGAAGTGTTTCTGGGGGTGCTCCAAAGTAAAGGACGATGGAGACAAGTGATAGAATACAAAGTAGTGGAGAGATTGGTTGAGAAATCACTGCTACCATCCCTCACCCTCTTAGCCAAGCATTAAGCACCTGAGGTCTTTGCTCTCAGCCTGAAGCAGTAACAGTCTTTTGGCCTGACAGGTAGGACATTGCCTTGCTCCAGGAAGCTGAAGACACCTAGCAGAAGACCCTATGTTCCCACATCCAGAAGATAAGTTACTGGTATACTCTGCCAAGTACTTCCTGTTCATTCCTCATAATCCATGGAGATAAGCTACAGAAAACAGTAACAGCATTCATAGACTGAAGAATTAATGCAATAAAAAGGAACACCCCACTCGACAAATATAGAGACATCCATCTTAGGAAACAGAACTTAACAGTGAATAGAGAAGTTGTTTTTGTTGAGAAGTTATAATTAACATATTCAGAGTATATAAAGCATAGACAAAAATAAACAAAGACAAGAATCTTGGGAATCAAAACTATGATACTCAAAACAAGGATTTCAGAGAAATAAAATGTTGGGATTGGAGGTAAGAAAATAATCAAAGAAATAATCGAAAAACTTCTTGGAGTAGATGACAAAAGAAGTCAGATCAAAAGGGCCACAAAGTACAAAGCAGGATGTATAAAAATGAACCATGGCTAAACAATGACAAGCAGTTTAATAATTAGGATAGGGAGAAAATTTGGAAAAATAATATGTATTGGAATCCTAGAAAAGAATAAGAATCAATGGGCATTAGAAAACTACTGAGAAACAGATAAAGACATTCTATAAAAAAGATATCTGCACTCAAATGTTTATAGCAGCACAATTCACAATTGCAAAGATATGGGAACAACCCAAGTGCCCATGAATATATGAGTGGATTAATAAAATGTGTTATATATATACCATGGAGTACTACTCAGCCATAAAAAATGGTGATCTAATACCTCTTGTATTATCCTGTATGGAAGTGGAGCCCATTCTTCTAAGTGAAGTATCAAAAGAATGGAAAAAGAAACACCACATGTACTCACCACTAAATTGGTACTAATCGATCAACACTTATGTGCACATATGGAAGTAACATTCATTGGGGTTCTGGCAGGTGGGAGAGGAGAAGAAGGTATGGATGA